AAAATAAGAAAATTTTAACGGAATTTTTCGATTTGAATTTTTGCATTAATAATGTGAAAAATTTATGGAATTTGATATTATGGGATTTCATCATGACTTAAATGTTAATCCTAGCGTTTATGGATGGAGATAAAAAATATATGGCATTAAAAACTTATAGTAAAGGCAATGCAGAATATGTCCTGAAAACTTCAGATTTTTTTGATTAACCAAAATAAGAGAAAAATAAATTTTTTCATATCCGTACTCACTCGTTACAAGCATTTTAATTAATTTTTGTCATTTAAGCTTATGTTGAGGTAAATATCAATTCTTTATCTGAAAGAGCATTTAAAAATCTACATATTTAGATTTCATTTGTTATTAATAGATGATTATTCATAAAAATATTTGATGAAAACAAAAAACCTGGCTTTCACTACTTTCTCTTGAGGATATTAGATGATTGGAAGTTCCAAAAATTTTTAGAATGCTCTAGTATTGTTAAGAAAATAAAAATCTACAAGTCTATATACAATATGTATAGTCAAAGTCAAAATTGAGGAAGATTTTTGTAAATTTTTCTAAAGTGTCTCATTTCAATTTCCACCTCAAAAATCATATTTTGTAAATAACTTTAAACTGCTACATTTTCAGTCAGTACATTGTTCCTGTACTTAAGTTATTTTTTAAAGTTCTTTCCAATGATATACAACAAGTAAGGCTTAATCTTTCATTTGTAAGACTTTCACATAAAAAACATGGGTGTCTCATTTCAATTTCCACCAGTGTATAGAATAAGATTTCAATCACAATGCTTAAATCTTTTAGTATTCAGGTCTTAAGAACTTAATGTAACATATTTTGTGATATTTTAGTTTTTTGGGAAAGAAAACAAAAGCATTTATGCTCTAAAAATTGTTAAAATTAATTATTAGGGAAGTTCTTAATGTTTTTTAAAATTAACTGCTTTTTTATATTGATATTCCCAAAATAACTCCAATCAATGAGAATGGTCAGGAAAAATCAATCACTCCGAATAAAAATAAATAACTTGTTTAATTTCTTTAACATTTATAAAAGCAAATAAAAATAGGCGTTAATCACCTTGGCCGAACAGAAATAAAATAAATTATTGTACATGAGTCATTCAAATTTTATCAGTGTTGTAAAATCTTCACATTACACAATTCTCATGGCTAATATAAAAAGAACATGAAATTCATGTTAAAAGGATATTTGTAAGTGAATAAAATGAAGAAAAAAAAATAAGTTTGCCTTTTTAACTTTAAATATTTTTCCCATTTTTATCTACTTACATCAAATAAAAACTAGATTGAAAAAATGCATAGGGTAAATACGACAGTAACATAAAGTGTTAAATTTAAGTAGGGGTGCAGAAAATAAAAACGCAATTCTTGTTAATAAAATGAATCATAATAATTATGAAATGAATTTGCATGCACTTAAAATTTGTAATGCAAATTTTTTCATTCGTTAATCATGATGAATACAATTTTTTTTAAAAATAGTTATGATTATTAAAAAATATTAGCTGAGTCACTTTTACATCAAATTTTCAGGTGTATACTATTTTACAAATATTTTATCAATATCATTAAATTTTGACCAATTGTAATTTAAAAATGCTTTTAAAATATCCTTTTATTATAAATCGTTTCCAAATTTTAAATTTTAGTATAGCTATATAGATTGTAATTAAATTTAAATATGTTGTTGAAAAGTATTTTATTATTTATATTTTTCCCCCTTAATACTACTTGAATATCAGTTCTAAGGTTTAATTTTAATAATAACCAAGATATGCCATATAATAAAAATACATCTCAATTTATTTCATTTCTATTACATAAAATAATTTATAATAACTTAAATGGATTCTTTCATTCGCAATATAGCTTGCTGACAAATAAATATTGATAGAGTAAAATTCCCATTTGTTTCGGTTCATTAGTGTTATTAAAGGGGCAATTTATTAAATTAACCTATACTATATAAGCATTGCGTTTATACAAGTAAGAATCAATAATAAGAAAAACAACAGAAAAAAACTGGTCAGCTTAATAAAGAAATTAAATTTTCATCGATTTTCGTCAACTTCAGCAGAAAATTTGTATTATGACTATAACGCGAGGCATATTTGAATAGCATGAAACAAAATTCCATCAATCAAATTTTCTATACTTAATGGAATTTTTGTATCTCAATAATTTTTCTTTGATTTCAATTACAAAATTGAATTTATGATAAATTTAATACTCAATATATCTTCCTAAATACTGTTGAAAAATTAAATATAACTTGGATAGCATAATTTGAATCATTATCTGTTGATGTTATTAAATATATTTGCTTGTTATAAGGTTTAAATGAACAAAAAGGCTTTTGAATTTGTATAAATATTGTGGCATCATTAAATATCATCTATCATAAATTTTCATCTTTTATTGTGCAATTCGTTTTGACGTATCTCCATTTTATAATATTTAGTGTAGTACTTCAGATTAAGTTTTTTCTTTAAAAATCGTTGTAAAAAATCAAGCTCCACAATGATTCAGATTTGGAAAATATGTTCAAAATTCGAAGATATAAATACTCTCAAAATAATTTTTAATCTTAATGTTTTAAGTGATTTTGATCATCCAAACAAACAATGAAGGCGATCACTTAGAATGAACAGTAATTACCATCACTAGGATCCATATCCATATAAATATGCCACTTTGCCACAAATCATACGCAATAACACAAGTTGAAGTGATAGTAGAAGTGATTAACATCATTGTATATTTGTGTAAATTATTTTATTTTATATATTACCACTAAGGTTGTCGAAAAATTTTTTGGCTAAAACTTGATCTGTATCTTTAAAGTCTGAGTTTTTAATTTTAAGAAATTAAAAGAACAAAACAGAACTTTTATTTTTTCACAATTCTTGATTGCAACTTTGTTTTTTCTTCATCAGAAAAGATTTTAAAGCTATTCCAAGTACAATTATGGATGTTATGTGCAGTGATCATAAAAATTTTGACATTTTGACCCACATGACGAATTGGAATTGCATCATTTAATCAGAATAAATTACAAAAGATAGAATAGATAACAAAAGTCGAATAATGTTATATAAATCGGATCTTCTTCATGGTTCCGAAGGTTGAAAATATTTTTCATATTCACACCAAATTTTCAATTTGTGTAATTTTTTTTGGAGAACTTCTAATGCAAAAATGGAGACCTATTAGTTTAATTATATCCAGTTATAAATTGTCAAATATTAGAACCATTTCTTAAATGTCAAAAAATTAAAGTGTAGAGAGTAAAAAATTAATTGTATTTTACGGGTTTTTATCGTTTTTCTTTTCTTTTTGAATGCAAGCTTATTTTATAGAATGCCAACATAAATTTTCAATATTTGATATTTCAATGTCAAACATTTTAAGAATGTTTCGAAAGACAAAAATAGTATTGAAACATATAGTTATGACAGGAAGCCTTCCTTCAATTTATATACATGAACTGCAAATGAAAGTGTGATTAAACCATAATGCTGTAAGTTTTCAAATATAAGTTTAAAGAAAATATATTTTAATTGACAACGCTTAAATTAAGGATGTGTAATTTGTTTTTTAAAATGGAGTTAAGCATACTTACTTTTATTGATTAAATATTTTGAAAAATCTTTATGTTGAAAATTAAGTGATTTTAAGGACTTACTAATATCCTTTTAAAAAAAATAAAGAATTTTTTTTTAGTTTAAGAGCTGAAAAAATTGGATTGAACGGATAAAGCACTGAAGTTTTAAATAAAAAGTAAAGTAAAAACCCTTTTCATAAACATTAATTAACCTTAGGTTTTTATTATCTCTTAAAAGTTAAAAGTACATTTAAAAATTTATAGAATTTTATCTTAATTTCGTAAACTTTTCCATATCTCTTACTTATTCTTTTTTTTCCTCATATTATAAAAGAAACTTGTGGTATTTTACAACTCAGTTAAGTCTTTAAAGTGATAAAATGTTCAAAGTGCCCCGAATAAAAAGTTTATATATATCACGATTATTTTTCTTTCTGAACTTCTTTTAAAAAACATTTCTCTTTGTTATTTAATAAATTTTGAAGAAGAAAAAATTAAAAGCAAAATTTTTTGTATGTAATTTTTACTTAATATGTATAAAGTATGTAACTTCTGATCATGATTAGGAAAAAAATTTATTACTTAGAAAAATGCTTTTGTGAATGTTTGAATTTCAATGATTATTATTATGAGTATATAAATTAGATATTAAATTTTATAGATTTTTTTTTATTTTAAAATGTTGTTGAACACTATTGATATGACAAATTTACATGGATATGATAAGAAAAGTTTCATTCGTATATCTATTTTTTTAGCAAATTAATTTTTAAAAAGTAATTTACCGTCGAGTAAAGATTGAAATTTCAAATTTTATCAATCTTTTATAGTCGTTTTGGCACAATACATTTTGAAAATTGTTATTTTTTTCAAAGTTGGCGTGAAAAAAGAATCTTCTGCATTCGAATATCAAACCAAAACTAGAAATTAATTGCTGAGGCACTGAATATATTTTTGAAAGATAATGACTGGGAAATGTATAAAAAACTATGTAATATTACAATCTGAAGTTTTATTTTTAAACTTCTTAGAATGCTTATAATAATAATAATAATAATCAAATAATTGGCGTAAAGTTTATGGCAGAATTTTTATCGAAAACAAACTTTTCTTTTTCTTAAAATATTTTTTTGGTTTGAAGAAAACTTTTAAGTTAATAATTAAGCTTAAAATATAACGACAATTTAAAAGTGTTCCATACAACTGAAATTAATACAAAAGCTTTATTCATTTAAAAAAAATTGTTGGAAAAACCATAAATAATCATTTCAAATAAAAGTAGAAACTAATTCAATTGCAAAAATATATCCTTTTAAAATTTACAGGAGTAAAGCATTATTTTGCTTAAAAATTTGTACATATTAATTATAAAATCTCGAAAAGCTAACTTCATAAACAAACTATTGAATTATCTATATGCATCATGCAGAAAAATTAAATTTTTCTTTTACCAGTTAATAAAACTCTTTGTAAGAATTTACATTAAATTTTCTTTTAATCTGATTTATGAATATTTTTTAAAAAAATTTTGATTTTAATTTACTGTTTGTCGTATTTAAATTATTTACATTAGAACTTTTTTTTGACTTCTTTTTCTCAGATTCAACTAAATTAAAATTTTTGGATTTTGACTTTTTAAACTTATTGCAACAGAAATTTATGACTCGTACCGTTTCTTTAAAAATTTGATTTAAGCACTTCCTTTTATAAATTATTAAAATTTCATTGCACTTTTAAAATAATTTTATAGTTATCTTAAATTATATCGTTGTTGCAGAAAGAAAAAGAGGAATAGTAAATTTAAAATTAAAAATTGATGTGATAGTTGTAGATTTCTTGATGAATTTGCTATAGAGACAGAAAAAAATGATTACAATTTAAGAATAAATGTTAATAAAATTTCGTCTTACCATGAACTCTGTCAGCTCTGGTATTAGATGTTGATGTTGCTGATAATGGTTTTTTCGATTCCATAATGGAAGCTTTTTGTTTGTCTCCAATAACGCTCTCTTCATTACTTTTGTAGTATATTGATTCAATTACACCCAAACACTAATTCAACGTGGAAATGAAAATTAGAGTATTTTAAATATTTAATAAGATCTAATTCAAAATGGTAACAAATAATTTCAAATGTTTTTTAAGAAGGGTAATGTTTTGGATTTGAACTTTCCTTACCTTTAATTTCATATCACCATTCTTAAAGTGATGTTGTTGAACGTAAAATTTTAGGTTCAGGACAGTTTGTTCTAGACCTTCACGGCCAGTCTTAATAGGTTTATAATGCCTGATTATCTCTGAGTGTGCTGGAACTCCATTGATAAACCATGTTAGTTTAACAGCTGGTTTTGACCTCCCAGACGTACAATTTACGTTAACTTTATCATTAATTTGATATCTGGCTCGGCCACCTGTTATTTTAGGGTCAGTCTCTGGCAAAACTATGAAATATAAATAAATTATAGAAAAATTTGGAATGCCAAAAACAAAATGTAGGTAAGAGTGAATGAAGGGAAAATTTACTTCCTCATTTCGTAACAGAAAATTCTATTATTGTACTGACAAGACTCTGAGATTTAAGTGTCCAATTACTCATCCTTGTTGAAGCGAGAAAGCGTGTATGGCAAGTGAATTGGAAATGACAAAATAAAACGAAGTAAATTTGATTTGACATCACAGATTCTCGTAATAATAGCCAATATCTTCCGATGTATACAAGTTCACATGATGGAATGAAAGATGAAGGATTTTGGGATGTGTTAAGGAAAGAAGAAGTTGAAAAAAGGAAAAGAAGATTTTTTTTTGCTGAAGTAGGTAGAAAGCAAGAAATGTGAAAATCTTGATTCAACATTGATTGAATTTATAAGATGAGAAAGATAAAGAAAAAAGTTTTAAAAGCTTATATGAACTAAACAAGGAATCTAAAACTTTCTCATGTCTAAATTCAATTATTATTGAAAATTGACTTGAATTTTAAATTTGTTTTTCTTTGTTTTTTAATTGTTATCACAGATATTTTTTTCTTTTTTCCAAGCGTCTACATCAGCTTGCAAAAAAGAATCCTTTTAAAAAATGGTTCATAAACCTGTTTATATTTGGAGGAGAACATATAGATATACTAGTCATACTTTTATACTTAATTTAGGTAAATAAAAGTACAATAAGTGATGAATAATTATATAAAGGATGAAAAGTGCCCGTTTGCTATAGGAGTAGTTTTAAAAACTTAAAGTTGAAAATAAATTATGTTTAATCCACTCTACTTTATTATTTCTCTTCGTACATTTAAGTGTAAAAACCTCAGTATAATTACGTTGTCATTGTCGTCTTTCTTTTTCTTTTATTCTTATTCATTTGAAGCTTTCCGTTCGTTTTTACTTCTACGCTTTTCTTTAGTGCTTTTCTTTCTTATATATTCGTTTCGTTATGAACTCAATAAAAAATGCACTTGCTACTGTTTCTTTTCTTTTGTTTTTATAGAAGCACAATCTAGGAACGCTATTTCTCTATCTTACTTCTCATTTTTATTATTTTCTTTCTCACAATTTTTTCCTTTCGTTAACACCATACAAGCGCCCACAAAAATGTGTAAACTTTTAAGCTTCTTTCTTCTAAATGATGACATTTCTCACTTCTTTCTGGTTTTGCTCTTGCATTCGCTTCAAGTGTTATAAAAAAATATTGTATGTTCTCTTTGGGATTGGTAAAACAAAAGCTTATGATGTTGAAGGGAGGAAAAAGAAAAGCTAATAAAATACGGAGCGTAGAATGAACAGTTAGGAAGAAAAGGAGATAAAAGAAAAGTGTAATGATGAAAAAATAGAAATGATGATTATGAAGAAATATAAAAGACGATTTTTATTGTATTAAAATAAGAAAGTCAGGTTTAAGAGTAATTTTTCGATAAGTTCTTATAATTTACGATGACTAAGGTGCGCGCAGTTCGTTTAGACGCACTTAATTTTTTTCAAATTTTCCTTTAATAAACACTATTAAGACAAAAACTATTTTATGTGTTTATAGCTGTGACCAATTAGGTTATAAATATAATAAAAGTATCTGACTAAATGCTTTGCTTAAGTAATTAAAATAATTTTTTCAAAAATTACAACAACAAAGTGCGCAGTTCGTTTAGACGCACTTTGAAAAATCTAAAATTTTGTCTTATTTACGTTTCGTAGAAAACTTAATCGTTTCTAATATTAATCTATCAACAAAAACGAGTAATTACTGAGGGTTTTAGAATTTTCCATCAAGTTTTTCCAGAGATTTTCCTTCATTAAAGTTTTCATGTTGCAAAAATTTTGATAAATTATTTATCCAATAATTTTGCGTTAAATTATTATTCTTTTAACTGATTTCCATAGATAATTGTCCATAATATTAGAAAATTAACAGATATTTAAGCTTTCTTCTAAGTATAAGGCGAAAATATGTGAAAAATATAATTATGGTGAAAAATTTCCACCACTCTCATAGATTAATCAACAAATTTTGACAAAACTGTAGATACCATAATAAATTTGAATAGACCAGCTTATTTATCGTATTAAACTTAGTTAAAAACAGAAAACTGCACAGCTCTATGGCTAATGGAACTTGAAAATTTTACTGAAAAATTAAGTTGTGGTGAAAAAATTCACCATAGAAAAATAAAATTTTAAAAAAACTATGTCTAAGGTTTTAATTCATGTTTTAAATTGATTAATTTTGAGACAGAAATACTTTTACAACCTAATTTAAATGAAACAATTGCCTAAAACAACGTTTTTTAAAATTTTATTTTTCTATGGTGAATTTTTTCACCACAACTTAATTTTTCAGTAAAATTTTCAAGTTCCATTAGCCATAGAGCTGTGCAGTTTTCTGTTTTTAACTAAGTTTAATACGATAAATAAGCTGGTCTATTCAAATTTATTATGGTATCTACAGTTTTGTCAAAATTTGTTGATTAATCTATGAGAGTGGTGGAAATTTTTCACCATAATTATATTTTTCACATATTTTCGCCTTATACTTAGAAGAAAGCTTAAATATCTGTTAATTTTCTAATATTATGGACAATTATCTATGGAAATCAGTTAAAAGAATAATAATTTAACGCAAAATTATTGGATAAATAATTTATCAAAATTTTTGCAACATGAAAACTTTAATGAAGGAAAATCTCTGGAAAAACTTGATGGAAAATTCTAAAACCCTCAGTAATTACTCGTTTTTGTTGATAGATTAATATTAGAAACGATTAAGTTTTCTACGAAACGTAAATAAGACAAAATTTTAGATTTTTCAAAGTGCGTCTAAACGAACTGCGCACTTTGTTGTTGTAATTTTTGAAAAAATTATTTTAATTACTTAAGCAAAGCATTTAGTCAGATACTTTTATTATATTTATAACCTAATTGGTCACAGCTATAAACACATAAAATAGTTTTTGTCTTAATAGTGTTTATTAAAGGAAAATTTGAAAAAAATTAAGTGCGTCTAAACGAACTGCGCGCACCTTAGTAAGAACGTACGTTCTTAAGAATTTTTAAAAAATGACAAGAAAAACATTGAAAGTTTTTTGCGTTTAAGACCTAAAAAATTCATATGAAACATAAAATGACGCTTTTCATATAAAAAAATTTTTCATGTTTTTCTGAAGACAATTTGCATGAATAATGTATGGAATATTTTCGGATATTTTTAAAACAAACAAAAAATCCACCATATTAAAAAATTTTAATTTTTTTACAGAATTACAAGGAAAATTTAAAAAACCGATTTAGAAAAATTAAAATTTGATGTCAAAATTTTTAAATTATGCTTATGATAAAAAAAAATAAAAATTTATGTTTTTAATCTACATCACTATGGAATATTTTCAACTTGAAAGGATCATTTATAAAAAAAAGTAACATAGCAAAGTAATTTGCATTTCATCTTAATATATTTCATTCGAGAAAAGCCTAATGGTAAATCTTTAAAACGACATGTAGTTTCATTATTTATTTGCTTGGCATCAATGCTGTAAATTCATTTGATGAATATTACTTTTTTTTTAGCTCAAACGACATTCAACAAACACAAATAAGCTAATCCCTTGTAATACGAATTCGATTTCACATTCGATGATTCATGAGTGAAAATGCCATCAATTCTTTGTCGCATTTTGCAAATGAATTTTTTATAACATCACAAGAGAAGGAGCGAAGCAAGAAATATAATGTAAGAAAGCGTTGGGGAAAAGTCAAAAAGCATGAACATGAGTAAGACGAAGAAGATGTACGTAAAAATATAGATGTTTTATCATTCATGTCATATATGATGCAGCATAAAAAAAGAAATATTTCGTTTATTTTACATCACACAATCATTATAAAAAAAGGAGAATGGGAAAGCATGTATATGAACATAAGAAGGGTATTGAAAATCAAGTAAAAAATCCAATATCTAAAATATCTTTTGAGCTTCGCGTTTTCTCTTGAGAAAAAAAGAAAAAAAAATTATATTTTTTAAGCCAATGGAGTTTCAACGTATAAATTTTAAGAAAATTGCTTTACGAAAAATCAAAATAATAACAATATACATAAAGATAAAAAGTCTGAGTTACTTGCCACTTATCGTGGAAGCAATTCACATTTTCTAGCCAACACGTACATTTTTGTCATTGAATACGCATGTTTGAGTGTAATGTTCAACATTTATATAAATTATAATATTTAATAATTCATACTATTTTGTTCGTATTCCAATGAAAGCATTGTATGATGATGGAATATCTATGATTGTAGAATCATAAAATATATTTCTATTTCAATTGGTTTTGAATTGATGAAAAAACACAATTTAAGCAGAATTGACTTTGCTAAAACTTTACATAATTTTTTCATAAAACTCATTGGAATAAGATTCGTTTTAACCTCAAAGTCACATCATGTCTCACCATTTCTCTGATAACGTACTATTATTTAATCAAATAGAAATATCAAAGTACGTACCAAGAGACCAGTATTCATTTCTTTCACTAATTTTTTTGACAAATAATATAAAGCAATATTCCAATTTGTTTGTTACGTGTGCTGCGCGTTATCATTTCTGAGAGCGAAAAATAATAATGTAATTTTTATGCGATTTTTGTAGAATGAATTATTTCATTTTCGTTTTTATCCATTTTCGTTTCTGTATATATTTCCCCATCACGTTTTGCTTAGAAAAAAAATTGTTTTTGTATTAACTTTCTTCATTCTCTCTGTTTTCTCTGAGCTCAGTGATGAAAAAAGTGATAATTTCTAGTTTGACTTTTAACTACATAAACCTACTGCTGCTGTTATGTCTCTGTTTATTCTACTTCCATTGTTTAAAAAGCACAATAATGAAAAATTTATTTTTTTTTTGAATTTTGTTTGTTACTAACCAAGCTCTGTGCTGTACTATGACATCAACATTCTTACCTCTCTTCAATGGTATTTTTCGTTCTCTAAATTTTCATGCTTATAATTAAAATGAAATTCGTGTTTGGAATATTTACAGCAACTTTTCTTTATTCCTTATTTCTTTCTTTGCTTCAATCTCGGATCAGGATGGATTTTTTTTTGCGAGGAATGAATAAAACACTTTTCAATCTCAATGTTGTATTTTATCGTTAGTAAGGATAAATGAAAATTTACACATACCTACAACAACCATATCTCCGGTATCGCTTACAGTCTGAAACATTGGTGCTTCACCAGATATTTCACATCGGTATCTTCCTGATGATGCGAGATTTACAGATTGTAGTACAACTTGGATATCCGTTGAGTTGAAAAGCTTTATGGTAGTAAAACAGAAATATTATTAAATTCAAATTTATTGACCAATAAAATGTCTTATTTCTTACATCAACATTTATTCCTGGAAGTGGAAATAACGTTGCTGGTGGGTGGTCACGCGGTAAATATCTATAAAATTCATGTCCATCTTTATACCATTTTACCGAATATAACTTTTCATCTTCCATATCATAAATACATTCAAGTCGTACGACATTATCTTTTACTGTGTAATTTGGTACTCTAACTTCTATCAATCGTAATGCATTGGAAAATTCTGAAAGAAAAAAAAAGAGAAAAATATATCGATTTGTTTTGTTAATCATTTTTTAAAATTAAAACGAAACTTGTTCGAATAGAGTAAATAAACATGATTCCGATTTCCAAACAAATTATATCTTAGTAAAATTGTGCGATTTTTTCATTTTTAAAGCTCTATATGAAGAATTAAAAAACAAATATTTAAAAATGTGAATTATTACCGGACAGTATGTCGTCAATAAATGCAATAAAGTTCAATTAAAATGTAAAAATTATTTTTAACGAATGCTGTGATATGATATGATATGAAACTTAAACTTTGGGGAATTTACATTCCACGTATTGTTTGTCTTTAAGTTTCATTAATAAAATTACTAATTTTCTTCGTATTTATTAATTAATTGAAAGGCAAAATATGTCTCATAAAAGTGTAATTAAATAGAATAAAATAAAGTTTCTTCTCTCATTGATTAATAAGTTTATTTCGTGCAATAAAATTTCACTCTATTATAAAAAAAGGATATGCATGTTCTAACATTAATACCGTAAGTTTTGAATGTAGCTCTAGTAAAATGGAACCAAACTGTATAATAGCCTTTTCACAAAACTTGCTAGAGCAGCAGAAAAATATAATTAATTTATTACTCATACATTAAAAAAATTCATATTCATATTATTTTACTAGCAACTTTTCGCCCTGCTTTACAAAAAATATTAGGAATAAAAAGAACAAAAAAAAAGTAAATTGATCTTTCTAAAAATAAATATTGGTTAAAATAAAATGATAAAATCATAGAATCAGAGGTTTGTAAAATGTTCATGCTTCTCTGTTTCAAAAATTTGAATTTTCCCAAAAAAAAGTCGATAAAGTTTTGTAGTTATTATAAATTTCTAATTTTTTCAGTATCCAATTTAATCATTTCGTTTTTTTAAATAAAAAAAATCTATAACTTATGGCAACAGAAATTTTTTGATTTTCTCAGATAACAATGATTTAGAAATTGTATGGAATTTAAATAGAATGGTTACAGATTGTATGAAATTTATCACGATCAACTTCTCCAAAAATATAATGCAAAAAATTCATCATTTAAATAATGGCAATAAAATTTATTTTACATTAAAAAAATATCACAACTTTACTCTTGCACGAAAGTTACAACATATTTGTAACAGAGTAATAGTCAAATAACCTAACTTTCTCTTACCACTTAGCAAAATGTTTATTGTTGTTCCTATTTGAATGTGTCTCTAGACATACCAGTATATATTAATAATTATACACTACCTTAACAGTAAAGTAATTTTATGATGTAATTATTTTACGAGAATAGTTATAGTAAAAATTATTTTTCATTTTGCATATGAATTATGAATGTCCCAAAGGCATAGTTATTGAAATTCGAACTCATTTAGTTGATTTCACTTTCTAGCTTAATTTTCCAAAAAGGAACATCAATGCCACATTAAAATAAACGATTGAGTATCTCAAATTGCCACTTTTTTTTATAAAAAGAAGAAAGAAAAAAGGCAGAATAAATATTTACTTAAGACGAAAAGAAGATTTGTTGGGATCAAATTCGTATGAAGGCAATTGTTATAACATGTGGTTACCATAAAAATTCTCAGAGAATTTAAAGTCACAAAGACTTTTTCAGCTCTTATGTAAAACACACAAACAAAAAGAGAACGAATAAACGGATAGAAAACAGAACCTTATAACGTATATAAGAGACACTGTTTCTTATGTTAAAATGTCAGCAATTTGTTAAAATGTAGCAACTTAATTGCTCATACAAAATTTTGCTTAAAATTTTTATATACAATTTCCAAACCTATTTCAAGAAATTTATCATTGAATCATTTTTTATATTAACAGTAATTTGATTTATTAAGTATCATTACTTGAAACTATTGAATATCATAATTCTTATGATTGAAATGAAAGGATTGATTTCTTCAAAATTGACGTTCGTGAAACGAATCTTTTTCTATTTTTAAGGAAAACTTTCTTTTCAAAAAAAGAAGAAATTAACATTTTCAAGAAGCTGATATCTGTAATAAAAAAGTAGGTATGATTTTTCTCATGAGTGCTCAGAAGATTTAAGTCTTCTTTATATTACCAGACCGTTTCAATCAATGCTGTTGAAAATCTTAATGTATTCTAATTTTAAATGAAATTTACGACTTTTTTGTTTTCTCAAATGTTTATTGCGTGAAAAATGTGTGAACGTTTTATTCTATTATGATAATGTGATGGGAGTTGAAGAATTTTGAAGGAGCTCCTCGACACTCATCATCATTATCGTCTTCACTATAGCACTCATCGTATATTCTCAATTAGTAAAAATAATTTATGAGCACCAAAGCATTTACTAAAAAAATAATAACTTTCAGACGCGTGAAATTTTATTAAATACTTCTTTGCAAACCTCATAATTTACAAAAATGCAGCTGAGCACTCACGAATAATGGATGTACATAATTGAATGATTCTAGCGCAAAGCGTGGAAACTATCCAAAATATATTATTTTCCCCAAATATCCCAAAAATATAAAAAAATTGAGATATCCGATCGAATCATATGTTGTTAAAACGGTTAAAACCCAAAATCTAAGATTTAAAATAAACTTTTCAACACCAAACCTTCAATTCACACTTTTTAACAAGAGCGCACTCTATTTAATTTAAGAAAACGCAAAAAATAGAACTTAAACCTTATTTTACATCTTCAGAAGCACAGAAACCTTTTAACAAACGGAAAAGTCTTTCATTATACTTTTATGAATTATTGCTTTCGCTTCTTTGGCTCATTTCAACACAATTATGACTGAGTATTGTGATGATAAACATACACACAGCGTACGATATTCATTCAAAAATAAATTTCAATATCTATAGGAGTATATATACAGAATAATAATGAAGACAAAGCGTTAAAATTGAAAAATTGCTGTTTTGATATAACAATGCTGAAGCAAGAATCTGATTATAAATCTTTCAATGCTTAAGATAATTTGAGGGTTAAAAGGAATTTAAGAGTTTCCATGAAGAATTTTTTTTTATAACAAAAATACTCGAAAGAAATAGAGTTGAAATAAAGTTGTTATTTTTGTATCTCTATGATATCAGGCGTGTGTGTATGTATGTATGTAATAATGTTTCTATATCAATATTTGTGTGTGGTTTTCTGCTTCATCGAAAATAAAAAAATAAAGTATATGCGGAGGACGAAAGGAAAATAAAGAGACGTTCAAAAAATAAGGATATTTTTATCAAGATTAAAATTGTTGTTGTATATTTCTACTGATGTCATACAACAATAACAACATAGAAAAGTTAAAATATAAAGATGTGGAGCATAGCAAGTCAAAAAGTTTTTTTTTTTTTTTTAAAAAATACAACAAACTCAATTTCGGAGAAGCGATAAGAACTAAGCCGTTACTTAGTTTGATTTTGTTTTTATTTTTTTTTTGTTCTGTCTACTCTTCCTTTATGTTTTATTTAGGGAAACATAAAATCTGTGACAACAATAAAAAAAAATCTTATTTTATAAATCCCTGATAGCACACAAATGCTAAAAAGAAATTCTGCAACTGATGATATTTTTATTATGGATGATTATGTAATACAGTACATAATAAGTTTCCGGCAATAAGTTTTCTTTCTTTCTTTTCATATTCTATATCTATGTCAGAATGTGTGTCAATGATGAAAAAACGTTTGCATTTCATCAGCTTTAAAAAATTCAATTTTATTACAAAAAATTGTGTATTAAAAATGTTTTAAACACATCATTTTTAATGTCGTTCATTTGTATTTCTCGGCAAATATCACGTGTTCTTTCTTCTATTATTTCCAATATCGTGACATCTTAAGGAAACACATGTATCCATACAGTATTTAAATATTTGTTTCATAGACAGAACTTTGTTGCAACATAGGTGTTACTGGGAATGACACTAGTAATGAGACGTTGTTTTCCAGAGTAGATAAATTCAATGAATCTTTCTGTCGGATTCTTTTACTGTCACGCAATCCTATTTTTTTTTTGGTCCGTAAGCGCCCGTGAGTATATATTGCTTCTTTTGCTTCCTTTTAACTTTACTTCCTTTCTTTTTTCGTGCAACAATATATCTTTCACCTTATCAGAACTCTCTAAGGTAGAATTTTTGTGAAAACAAAAGGTTAAGTTGGAGATGTTTTTGATGTTAAAATTGCCGTGTTAGTAACTCATTGCTTGTTTATGTTTTTATATAGCTTGAAAGATGCCGTGATTTTGTACATAAATCAACGGATTGTTGAATTTGATGCTGTGAATTTTTGTCATGATAGACGAATTTACAATTTAAATAATAACAACGACTTGCAGGTTTTAAGATATTTTATTTTAAAAATAATAATTTATTGTTCGAAAATTATTTAATTATTTAACAAAGCGATTCGGAGCTATGAAAGTAAGCGACAAACAATGATTTATTTTTTTTAAACTGTGAACCCTAAATAACATCAAGCATAACTACTATAAATATATTTTATCCATTGTGATAGTAATTAGTATGTGAATGATTTGTTGACTTAGTAGCTCCCAGTTCATTTTTGAATCATATTTTATATGGTCGTGGCTGCAGTTTGGTGTGGTAGCAATTTGTTTTCTGTTATTTATAATGCGGTATTGTGTAGTCATTTCCACATTTTAAAGCAATAATGAGCATAAGTAATGACTGACTTTATATTTCATGAGAAATTTAAAAATAAGCATACGATGATAGTTATTTTATATATGCTTTATACGTAGATGGACTGAGAAAATTCAGCATCAGTCAAGAACTTTTGTCAAATATCACTTTATCTCAGTTTTGTCCAAATTGTGTTCAGTGGAAGTTCAGTGTTTTTCAGAAATTTGTAGATTTTACATTAAATAAGAAAAATTTATAGGACTTCCGTGAAAGATTTTCTGTAGTCAAAGTCTGTCGTGGCTCCTAAAAAAATGGATAAATATGTATATGGAAATTCAACGGCATATAATGTTTGCTAATAAAGTTAAAATATTTGTTTGATGAAGCAAAATTTTCTTCTTCATATCTGTTTCATAATAATATTCTTTAAAAAATTTAAATAACTATATTTTCTCTCGAGTATCCATTATGAACATCATGAATAATGCTATGTATCGACCTTTCTACTCCCTAAATATAAGACGACAACTTTAAGATTAATTTTGTGTGTATAAACTATAAAATATATACAAACATCACACATCAAAGTATAACATCGTCAAATGTTATTTAGATTGTTAAATCAATTAATTAATTTCTCATGGTTTATTTATTTTCATGGCACATCCGAAACGATACATATGCAAAGATAATTATCATTTCATAGTGTTCTTTACACTATTTTCTCTCTTTCATACGAACATGCATATATATAAATATATATTTATGTGAAATATGTTTGCTTAGTATATAAGGCAGAGAAAATAAAATCATTATCGTTATGAATCACAAGTGATGCGTATAATAATTCTTGACATGGGTATGTTTATGAATTTTCACATAGTGTCTGGGTGCGTTTCAATTATATTACACTTTCCATAAGACTACTCATTCCATTAAAACATAAAAAAATTTTTTTTTGTATCTTTAAAGACTAATGTGTATATTCAGTAAAATGCATCAATATAATATATTTTGTAAAATAATTAAAATAATAATAAACCTTATAAAACAAACTAATTGTATAGGTAGTTGAGAAGTAAAAGAAATTTTAATTTAAATGAATTAATCAAGTTGATTGTACAGTTTCTGTTCGAAAATGATTATCCTAATAATTGAGCAACCTACATCAATGTGAAAAAACTCTTTTCTTTTTTTACTCCATTAACTACTCTATTACTACCTACATGAATGTATTTTATTTATTGTCGCATTAATGGTGGTATCAAAGATTGAGGGTAGAAAATGATAATAAAAATCCGCTTAGTGGAAGAAAGTAATAAATGGCAATCCAACAAATAGCTTCCAAATTTAAAACGAACCGCACTCCAGTTCACACATACACACACATATCGACCTCCGGTCGACCTGAAATGCCATTTAGTTTATTGAAATTTCCAAATAATTTATGTTCTAATCAGATGACAGCTGTAGAGATCGAAGAGATATTGAAATTGCTATAAAGTTCAAAACATCCATCGTAGTCTCATTTTCTCCCATTCTCCCTCTCTCTTCTGTCTCTCTATGACTTCATGCTTACAAAGTAGACTTGAAGAGTCGAATGACTGATTTGAGGCTATAACATTCAATAACACACTGAAATATTTTTTAATACTCTTAAAAGGGTTTTTTTCCCATTTCACTTCCTTTCTTAGACGCAGTAAGGTCGCTTTCAACATTCAATATTGTTGTAATTTTGGTGTTTGTATTTTTAGCTGATGGGTGAAAAAGGTTAAATGCTATTTTGCAGATATTTATTTAATGAGATAAAAGTCTCCTTTCATGGCTTCTTTTATTCCAAACCTTTCTTCTTTGCTTTTCTCCTTAAATCTCTTTAATTTCAACTTACTTGAAATCAACATTGGCTTTTCTTTTTTAGATTTTTTATCGTTGATTTTCTTTGGTTTTATTTGTTTTGCTTTTGTACTGATTTCCTGGGAATATGAGGTTTATAATTGCTATGGAAAAAGAGTAAACTGTAAGCTCATAAAATCCTTTTACTTCATCCAACAAAAATTTCCAATTAACTGAGCATGATGAAAGTATTCATCAAATAAGACTAAAGCATCATTTCATTTTATTTTGTATTTATCCTAAGATATTTTTAGTAAATCAGCTTTTTATCATGAAAGTACATTAAATAATTACATAGGACTCAAAATTTGTGAATTATTTTCAAAAATGCTAAAAGACACTTTATCGAATAAAATTCATTTTCTTTTTCTTTAGAAAAAAAAAACGGTGGATTATATATTATTAAATTGCTTTTTTATATAGTTTGGTCTATAGTCTTTCATTTTTATTTTAAAAAGGCTTGAGATTAAAAAAAAAATAAAATTAAAAATATATTTTTAACTCCAACAGTTTCGATGAATTAAAAATGAATAATCTTAGTGCAACTCTGATTCAATGTACTCAAGATAAATAAATTTGATTAGAATATAATTCAAATAAAGGGTTAACAATTTCATTTTCATCTTTATCTCACTTTTAACCCACAGATGAGCATAATACAGGAAAAATCGAATTTCAGTTTATCAAGTGATCGATTGCTGAAATTATCTTGATGGATTGCAATGGTATTGAAATTGAGTTAAATACAAATTTGTTTTCCAAGCTCTTTATTTCTACTTTTTTTCGATCATACATATATCTCACAAAACCATATGTGAAATGAATAAATAAATTAGTGAATGAGTCATGAGTTGTTCAGTCAGTTTATGCATTATGATAATCACATTTTATCGACAACTCGCATCTAGCCCTTTTATTTATTTATTTTATGAAGCACTTTTTCTCTGTCATATATATTTTCATATATAAGTGAATTACATTTTGCATTATAATACTCTTGCGCGTGAATTAATAAGAAAAATTTCAATAAATTTTCGTCTGAAAAATCATTCTCTTTTCCTCTTCCATAATTTATTCCTTCAACTTTTTTTTCCAAAATATATTATAGAAAGAGGAACAAGTAGTAGCAAAAATTGAATGTACAAAAATGAGAGAAAATAAATTTTTAAATTAATTCAAAAACTTGTACAATTTAAATTTATGACCAGACACAATGAGAGCAGATGAAAAAAAAGAGAAGTAAAACGGATTCGAGAAAATTGCTGAATAAAAATACTGAAAATATGAAAACTGCATGGTTGAGCCTTCATTTTAAGCATTGTTAAATTAAATTGAGTTAAATTAAATTAAACGTTTTTTATATGCTTTAATGTTTTCTTGTTGTTGTTATATTTTTTATGTATTCAATTGAGCATGTATGCATTTTTTATATCAATGTTTCGCTTTATTTGTGATAAAATATAATATACTGAAGAAATATTTTCTTCGTACCATTTTAAATTCGCTCTGATCTGAAATGATCAAAATAATACATTGCTATAAAGACCTGAATATCATTCTCTTTTATATAACAATGAAATAATATTAAATAAATATGTTACACACAACAAAATATATTGTGCATAAGGATATGAAAATAATAAAATTTCATGTATGCATAGATGTTCAGAGAAAAAGTGAAATGAGTCGAAATTATGCATGATGATGAATTATATTTTCTTTTTTCATATTATGTACCAGGTGATGTGCAGCTGATAGCGCTGTGTTCAATGCCGTACACCCTCAATCATACGATACACACAAAAATTAAATTTTCTACCAGAATAAAATAAAAAAAAATTCTGATATATATTTTTTATTGCCTGCAAATGATATGAACTTTTCGACCGAAATACACATTTAACACACATTCCGCATTTTCGACAGCTATATAAATTTAAACATGATGTTTATTTATTGAACAACATTGGGCTAAAATGCACAGTAATCAGTAAAATATCAACAGCACAACATAACATAGATATATATCACTTTTAATATCAGTCAATAAACGAGAAAATTTGATAATCCTACAACTGATTTAAGGCGTGCTCTTGTTTTAATGACGCGAGGGTAGAAAAATGTATATGTGTATACTATGTAATGTAGCGAGTAAAAGGTAGCGCACTCAGCATAAATTATTTGTATGAATTACATTATTTTATAACCATTGAATTATCAAATACGTGTATTTCTCTTCTGTCAAATTTTGTAAAGTCATTTCACGACTAATGGAATCAAATAAACTTTTGTTACACACTATACTGTTATATTTATAAATAGGGTGACCATCTAATTTTTATGAAAATACAGGACATTTGATAAATTTCCAAAAAAAATACAGGACACAAAGGAAAATTTGAAAATTAACGGAAATTTTCTTGAAAAAAATACAGGACTTGGAACAAAATTTTCAAATTTATACAGGACAGGGTTTTGAAATACAGGACTGTCCTTTGTAAAACTACGCAGATGGTCACCCTATTTATAATAAACCTGGATTTCATAGGAACAGGCATTAGATTATCGTGACCCTAAAAATTAATATGTTCATATGAATTGTTACACAAATTCATCAAATTTCATATTAAAATTTTTAAATAAGAATTCATTAAAAATGTATGATTATCACATATTTACAAGATATTTTTCACATGTTGTATAAAAAAAATAGTAGAATATTGATGAAATCTTTCACATTTCTTCAATGATTAAGCATGAAAAAATGGGAAAAAAAATTTGCTACAGTTCTTCTGCTATCACTTCGCACATTACCACCCTCTATTTCATACACTTCATAAAATATATAAGAATCTGTCGGTATGTATATATATATATATATATATACACGTTCATTCGTAACTTTTTTGTTTTTGTTTTTTACTTAATAAAAAATAATTCCACGTTTGCTGCACTGGTGATCATTCACTTTTTTATTATTTAAACATAAAACTACGTGCTAGGGCCTGAGTTGGCGAAAAATGAAAGCAAATTTTTAGTATACTGGGGTTGAAACAAAGCATGCAAAAAGTAGCGAGAAAAATTGGTTGTCGAAGTGAAAAAGTAAAATGGACAACACGCTGTATATGTATGTAGAATATTTAGAGCCCATGCAATCGTTTATTTTCTGTGCATTGAATCAAAATAAAAAAAAAACTCTTTCGAATTTTATTGATATGTCCAGCTGTGTAAAAACGAATTGAACACGTATACTTTATATATGTTTGTACATCCATACTTATATATTATTCTTTTGCTTATACAAGCATGTTCTTCTCCTTTTTAATGCCTGTTTTAAAAACGAGCAATAGATTTACTTAATGCATATCTGTAAGAGATAGATTCAATAAAGCATGATGAACTATTTGACTTTTAGAGAGAAAAATTTGCAAAAATCATATCGAAACAATTTTTAAACGTTAATTTCCATGTTTTTTTTAAGTTTCTAAGAAAATTGTTGAAAATTAGCTTAAAGGTTCCTCAGCCATGCTTATTATAAAATTCACCACAGTTTAATCCCTTTTCATTTCACTCGAATTTTATAATAGGTTAGAAGTTCGATGTTTTCAACATTAAAGAAATTGATTGGTGTTATTATCACAATTACTTAAAGGCTCAAAGAAATTAGTTTTTAGTAAATTCTTTGCATATGTTTATGCTTGTTGACATAAAATTTGAATGTTTACATTTTTATGCAATCGAAAAATATGACATATATTCTTTACTTCACTTCTTCATAAACGTACGTAGAGGGTTTTTATTATACGAAGGATAGTAACAAAATATGTAAATGAAATGCATAAAACACAGCTTATATGTACGTACATGAGTCACTTTGATATTGGAAACATGGTATATAAGCCACGTTCAATTTTAATTTTTTGTCATCTGAGCTACAAAAATCTCTAGAATGATACTCAAATCGAAAATGTATGCAATCTGAGACATAAATGAACAATGAACGTATTTGTATGAATTATACATACTGGAATGTTTGTTTTCACTTCAACGTATCTATTGACTAGAATTTCGTGTTTAGATGCTCACAATTTGGCTATCTATTTGTTATCAAAAGTTTTATTCATTCTTGATTTATTTTCTTTTTTAGAAATCCTACGTAAAAAAATCTTTCAAATAATTGAAGAAAAGCTTTCTATCAAAACCATTTTCAGGCATTTTTGATTCTCTTGTTTTCCTTAAATGTATTTTTTTTTCAATGTTGTTGATATAAAGAGCAATTTGATACTTGATTTTGCTTTCCATCGCTTTTGACAATATATTAGCTTCATCGTAGAAAAGAAAAAATGACGAGCAAATTGTATATTGATCGAAATAATGATGATGATAACGATTATTTGTTCAAAATGAAATTGTTTTCTTTTTTTTGATGTAGATCTGACATTTGTTGAAAAAATACTCGTTAAATTTTCAATTATTTGGAAATCTTCGTTATTTTTTTTTAAAAAAAGAAATCCCAATTGGTGTCTTTAAATTTTACGTTGAAAAATTGGTTTTGTATCTACACCAATGAATTACTTATAGTTACTGATAGTTTCTAGCGAAGTTAAAATATAAGAATAACATCCACCTCTGTAGATTCGCCTCGAAATTAATTATTTTCTAATATTACATGTTCATTTTTCCAACGAAACACAAAAAAAAGCGATAAGAGAAAATTTGAATTAGAATGACTTTAATCTCTTTAATTTTTTTCCCTTTAGGCTCTTTTAACACATGTATGTAGAATATTTTCATGCATGACTTATACTTTTCAAATATTAGGGCCAAAAATCCTTTTCATAACATGTTTATTTATGAGGACGAGGTTAAAGGAAGCTAATTTCCATAAACCAATAAATATATTACCATCAATTAACATAAATAGCATACGACAACAAAACGCTCTGGTCAACCATATGTTTATAATATATTTTATGTATATAGAATTTCTGTTAGTAAACGGATGGCCCAGTTAGTATGTAATCATCATGATATGAATTTCTCTAATTTAGATGTAGAGAATGATGATAGAAAAATTTTTAGTCTTTAGAAAAAAATTCTCATAACACCAATACATTCATACATATTTACCATAAATCTATATCTTTATATATGTATAGAAATTTTTCATGAAGAATTTTCCTTGCAAATTAACATATTAAGCTCCGCATAACATCATATAATACAGTAAATCACTCTGAAAGGCAAAAAGTTTATAATTATTAATGAAGCCTTTTCGTTAAGTTTATTTCCCTTTGTTTCCATTTTCATCTTATACTCAATATAATAATGACCGAGTCAGAGTTGTACTAAAAATTTGCATGCATACAATTTGCATATCATAAACAAAATTATTATTATTATTCAAGAGAGCTTGACGAACCGACAAGATATTATGATGATGGAGAGGAAAATTCTTGAGAGCTATTGCGGAGTTGTGGTAAACACGAATCCTGGAGGCACTTGACTTTCTAAAATTCAACTGAATGAGACGTATATTATTTAGGTAAACAGAGTAAAATTTGTTGTTGATGAATAGATGGAATAATACGCTCGAGGAACAGAAAACGAATGAAATGAGAATGTATGAAGAGAAAGGCAACATAACAAAAATTTTATTTAATATTCTGTAAAAATATTTTTCAAGTGCGAAACGAAATGAATCCATATTTTAAGCATATTATAATTTAAATGCTAATTTTTTGTTTTAGTTTGCATTATTCATCATTTTTCTTTTTTGCTCAAGTTTGGTAAGCGAAAACTCTCATAATATTTTTGTACTTAATGAAACCTTATATATTCAAATGTCTATTAATATTTTCATAAAAATGTAATACTTATTAGAGGCTTCAATTACCGTTTATATTATCAAGTGTGCTGATTTTTTTTTTAATCCTGTTATTGCTTAACAATTACAAGAGTTCGTATGTCATATATCAACAAGGCTTAAAGCAAATTTAAAATAAAAAATAAAGTAAGAGAGCATGTCAGTAATTCTTATTCTTATTTTCAAAGAAAAAAAAACCCCTTATCGACAAATGAAATAATGTTCGATAGTTTTGCATTAATTTGATTTCATTAAAGAATTTTTATTTCAATAAGGTTAGTAAAGAATTTCACCCACAAAATGAATCATTTCTTAATTTTCTTAGTATTCTCTTCAGATCATAAAATATGTTGCACAGCAGCTACGCAGAGTTCTTATTAAAAATACAAATCTAATCTAAAAATGGTATGCAAATATGAACCTTAACAGTCAAGAAAGTAAATTGAAGAAAACGAAAGAAATAAAGATGAAGGAAGAAAATTGTATTCACGTTAAAATACCTTCCTAATATGGATATATTCATATCTACATATATTACTTTAACGTATATATTCTTGCATACTTACATTTTTCTCTTTTTGCTTCTACATTGAAATATGAATTGAAAGCATAAATACATGTGACGTAT